GGACATAACACATATCGATTTTTATGTGTATGAATTTATAACTGATTAAAACTCGTTTATGACCAAATTATTGGTTCTAATACCACTGTTGGGTTATGATGATCATAAATACACAAAGCAATAGAAGCATAAAAATCAAAACTTGATAATCATAACCTACCATGGATCTTGTTCAAGCATCTTTTTTGCAATAAAATTCAACACGTAGAGTAGACCAAATATTTACCTCTTGTATATTATAGCAGATCTAATTTTTTTCATAGTTTTGGATGACTTGAAGATCCAAAGTAGTACCTCTTTGATTTAGCTGTTAAGATTATGATTAAGAAAAAACTTCAATTCTCACTTGTTTTTAAAGGCCAAAACCAAATCTTTATCCTTAGGACGATGATGTCATGAATGTATGAGAGAACCGAGGTCAAATGTGTTTTGGAGGGAATAGAATGTCAGCCTATGCTACGATCGGTCAAGGCGATTCTGAGTGTTGATTAGATAACACTTATCCCTCAAATGGTAGGATAAAGATGTAGTAATTATTCTTTAATTTAAATAAACGATCATTATACTTTAAACCCTTGATCCTTTAGTTTCTAATTAAATGACCTTATGATGAAAAATTAATAAACTAATCATGGAAAGTCACTAAGTTGTTGTGACCATAAGCATATTTATAACAAATAACGATGTGGTAGAGATGTTAATTTTGTAAGACAACTCCTTCTTTGCCACATAACCCTACCTTCGATTGGGTCTACCTTGTAATAGTAAGCATTCATCCAAGTTTCAATCTAGAATACTTGATTGACATAAATGTAAGCTCGCCAACTTTCTCACCACCGTTAGCAATGTCATTTATGTAGCTATTGCAGGCTTGCATGGAATTCCATTTACTTCCTACCTCCCACCATCTCTTACAACTTTTGTACTCAGGTGTTACGAACAATTAAGAAGAGAAATGAACACTTGGGGCTTCATCATTGTTTTGGTTTATTAGGGATAAACTAGAAACAGTAATTGGGGAAGTAAGTCTAGTTGTTCCCTCATAATGTGATATTTCCTTAGTTATTACCCTAGGTGCACCTCACTGAGATATCGGTAGGTAACTAAACCGGTTTCATCGTGTTCAGTTTAGACCTGCATGATGTGTAAGGTTTAGAACATCAACACCATTTTCTAATGCTCTTAGACTAAAGTCCATATCAGCTTTGTCAAGCGGTACTGGTAGTAAATAACTGGTGGTACCGAATAATCCAATTGTAGCATGAAAACATCCAATTCATAAACATAGAACTCATCTACATCTACTAGGTCCACATATCTTACTCTTCTTTAAATGCATATTATCCCTAAGAAGTTTGTGATCTTCCTACCACGTTAGAGCTCAATGTTGAAGATGATGCGATGACCTTCTATAAAAAAAATCAACAACAGACATAAAAAATAGCATTAGTTAGCTGTTAGAGTTGATTATTAGGTTTTCAAAATTTCCTATAAGAAATAGAGCAAATTATGGTGTATAATCCTTGAATGATCAAAACCTTGAAAGATTGGTCTTACTGTCCACATTGTTAACACCATAATCCAAGAATATTCAAAAGCAATAATGATAAGATGAACGAGTATGGCTATTTGATTAGAGTTTTCCCAATAATGAAGAGGGTTTAGTGGAAAGGAAGATGAAAAGCCACATGATGATTAATAAGATTGTCCTTAAATTTTTTTTAAATGACCGTAAAACAAGTACAATTAGATAGACAAGCTATAATTACCCGAAATTTAAGAATTTTCTATACCGTATACACGAAGGATAAACAAAAAGTAAAATTCCAGTTGGTAAAGGTCAACGAAAGTCAAAATTGAAAGAATAGTGGTGCCTAGCTATCATGCACGGCACATACACAGTGCATCCAGTTCTATAACGCGATGTGTTGATAGATGTGAGTCATTGAACACGTGGAAGAAGGGGAATACACATAAAAATCTACGGATTGACCACATGGGCATCGTGCGTCCGTGTACCTGATGCGACACGTAGGCATAGATGCCAGCCTAGTATAAATAATTTGAAATGGTTTTCGTTGATTTCTTTGGCATATTGAATCCATATACGGTGAGCGATGATTATGGCTTAGAGACAGAGGGCGTTAGGCCATTTTGCAAGGATACAATTGTTGTTGAAGCTAAGGTATCCTTTTAATTCGTTTATATGTAATTATATATGTGTAAGTTTAAGTGAAGGAATCCTCTTAATTCATTAATATGTAATTGTATTTATGTAAGTTTAGGTCCTGAAGGGTTAAGAAAACCCGATATAATATTGAAGTTCGTTATACGGTGTTATTATGAACTAAATTGTAGGGTTGACAGAGGGTTACTGTGTTGGAACTTTCGATTTGGATAATGAGTGTTCTAAACCATAGCTTACAAATTTTCCAATTTATGAGACTAGACCATCGGCTTACAGGGTTAATTTGTTTAGTAATAGTTTTGTGGAGCTTAGTGAGTTGGTAACAAAAGGTTACCAGGTTGTATATGTGATTAGGCAAATGGTTACTGTAATAGATATAATAAGTAAGATCCTAGTGTATTGGGAGAAGTTCTGAGGAACTTGGTGTGTTTTTCAAAAAGGTTTGGCAAGTGCTTGAGCTGAGAAATAGTATGAGGCTAGAGGATGGAATGGAAGTTAGTTTTCACTAACTGAATAGGTGAGTACATGTGGATTTTCCCCTTTAGGATACATTGCATAATAGTAAATTTTTGCTTGAAATTATTGAAAATACCTATTCTTTGTAAAGTAATAAGTCTGAACTAATGAGTAAATTTACTCTTTTCTAAAGAGTAAGTAAAAGATTTTGAAAGGTAAATGTTTTTAAATTAACTCACTCTTTTCCAAAGTAATGTTTAACTAGTTATGGCTTGTTACATGAACTTTCAAAATGGATTAATGAATTGTAATTTTAGTCGTGAAATATTTGAATATTTTACTATGCGATGTTATTAATACTATGTCATGGCATGTCATCTGCGTGTGATTAAGTCGGGAAATGAACAACGGTGATCATGCATCATATGAGCGAATTACATAGTAACTATTAGAAAATATTTCCCGGCTTCCCCAAGGGGTCCACATAGGGACAAATGTTGCCCTAGGGCTCCACACGTACTATGTATTGGTCCTTTCCCGGATGATTTGTTCTTCGGTAAAGGTCACCGTTCTAAGTCACTTATTGCGACTAGCCAAATTAGGGGTATACTTACGGCATCGTGCTACGAAGGATCACTTCCTCGTATCGGTCAGCAAACCGAGTCACCTTTGGTGACTAGCCTATTTGGGGTCGTCCTTTTGAATATTAGAATCGACAGGTAGATGAGGCTCGGGAAGGCCTGAGAAGACTTGTATTGAGTGAGAACATGCATAACATGGTCTATATTGTGTTTATAAATGCATTTCAATATACAGTTTTATCAAATGATTTTCATAATCATTTTGTGTCCAAAACCATCTAGCTCAGGAGACATTTGATTGTCTTATGTATATTGTTTAAATATCATATATCTATAATGATGTAAACAACCTAGCAGCTTTATAATGGTTTATTTGTATCAATTGTAATAACCGAATTGATAGTTTTACAAATATATTTATAAATGAATTGAAAATTTTTAGGACCATAATTTATAAATGGGGTCCTGTGACAGAAAATGTTTTATAAACCATATTATTTTAATATATAAATGGTTGGGTGTTACACAAGCAGAACAGTTTGACGAAAATGCCCCATGCCTTATAAGCATGTGGTACACATTAACCATGAGAAGTAACGTCTGTTACCTTAAGGGACCAAAAATCACAAAAGAAAAAAATATATATAAAAGTATAAAATATTTAAAATTTAAAAAATTTTAAAAAAAATCAAATTTGGACCACTCTGCAAGTCCAAACATTTTTGGGCCAAAACCGCAAAAAATACCAAACCATAAGAAACATTTTTGCAATTTTCTCTTAATTTAACCAATTAATTATGCATTCTAGATGCCCTTAACATAAGAAATTTGTCCATGTGGATTGTGTTCACTATTTCGTCGAAGGAGGGTCCATAAATAAGCGACCAAGACCTTATATATGCAATTTGACTTTTAGTACAACTACACTCAATCGGTTCAAATTCTCTCGTCTCGTTTACTTTTGGATTGTTGTATTTCGCTTTTTCTAATAGAGAGGGAGATCGAAAGAGCAACTACGTCCAATTGCTTAATGTAAGCTAGCTATTTAATTCTTGTTTTCACTATCACTCAGGAATTAAGTTTAACCTTTGTAGATTGCTTCAAGCGAAACATCTACACATATATTATACTGATATGTTTGATCACATGCTAATTCAAAACTCAAATTGCAGTTCGATAACTGAAGTAACATTGTTTGTGAGTCCTCTATGGAATCTGGTGATTGGAGGTCTCAGCTGACAGATATTTCACGGAACAGGATCGTGAACAAGATGTGTGTTTGCGTATTTTTTGCTTTAAGAATTTGTTTATGCTAATCTGCTCAGAATTTATCTTACTTATCTTACTGTAAGTCTATAACGATGGTGATGTTAGCTCTTAGGATTTTGTTGCTAATCTTACCCTAAGAAATCATATTCTCTATATTAATCGACAAAGAAACTATTACAAGAAAGGGGAACAAAAAAAATACACACATAAGCTAATAGACCCCTAAAATTACCATGCTTACAGAAATATATACTCAAAAAGAATGTTCACACATCTAACATAATTCTGAAAGTATAGCTTCTTTTGGGGCTTATTGCTTTTGTAATGTTTCAAACTTTTCAGCATGGCTGTGTTTTTTTTTCTCACTTGTTTCCTTACACTTCTTGAATTGCAATTACACTTGCATTGCTTGTTGTCGCTGGTTTTCTACAATTTTTTTGACTGGTAAAATCATGCTTTATAGAGGAAATATCTTAAAAAAATTACCCACTTCTTTTGACTGATACATGTCAATATTACGTAGAACTGATATCTTGAAGAGATATATTCCGATTTCTGGACCTGAGACTGAGGCAGAGGGGCTACAGGAACTAAGAAAAATATCTTTGAAATTTGAACAGAAGATTTATACTTCTGCAACAACTGCAAATCAGGTTTGCGATGTGTTTTTTTTATTATAATAGCTTTTGCTTTTGATTAGTGATATATCATTTTGCCATATATATACCGTAAGTTTAAATCCTTATAATATTTGGTTTGCAGAATGATTATTTGCGGAAGATAGCCTTGAAGATGAAGGTTATGGAAACCATATCACAAAATCCCATGCCAGATGCAATGCATTCTAACCCTGGTGCTAATTCTGTAAACCCCTCGGATCCAGGTACTTCCAAATACACGTTTTCAAGGTATAACTAAGTTCAGTATAGTTAAATAGTAACCAAGATTCAGATTTGTTCAACTTAGGTACCCTAAACTTTTTTGTTAAGAGATTTTATCATTCAAGTTCCCTTTATATGAAACTTTGTGTTTTGTTTGTTCCATTTTTTTGAAATTTGAAAACCAAGTTTACCTCCAAGAATCAAAATATCATATCTATCTAGCACAGACGAACCTAATAATATTTGATTAACAAAGTCGTCAACTCCCTGAATCTATCTCTTTTTGATAACCAAAGTCGTTAACTCGTCAAACCTATTCAACCTAATTGAAAACAAGAATCATGAATGAAATTTGATTAACAATGTCTAGAACCTTAAAATTAGGATCCACCTAGAGTGAAAAACCTTCTAAAAGAGTTCATAAATGCAAACCTTCTAGAATAGTAAATGACCTCTTGAAGTAATGAAATTTACGGTAGAAAGTTTGTAACCACTAAATATATGATACTTAAAAATTAAATTGGACAAATATAATATTTTGATGTTTAAAAATGACATATTAAATTAACCCTTTTTATAAAACCTCCGTATCTAAATATTCCATTTTTAAACACAAATAATATTTTAAGACGAATATATAAATAAAAATAAAATTAATACATTTAAGTTATATTTTATAAATGAGATGCCGTTAAATTTGTAATAGGAATAATTAATTAGTAAATAAAAAAAATATATCTACAACTAAAGTATAATTAAAGAGGTAAAATGAAATATAGTTAAGGTAGAAAGGGTTATATGTATAAGTTATCAAAGTATATTCACCACTCAATATATAAGAATAATCAAAAAAAAAAAAAAAAAAAAAAAATCAAGTCGATTGATATTAAGTTGTTAAAAATATATATGTATAGTAATAAGATATATAAAATCTTATCCTTGAAGATGCTCTTAGCCGATATCATTTATTAAACCTTGTTTTATTCGTCAACTAGGTTATATATATATATATATATATATATATATATATATATATATATATATATATATATATATATATATATATATATATGGCTAGGTTATAATGTAGATGGAAAACTATTGTGCGGACGTGTGGACAGTGCTATTCTATAAGAATTACTAAAAAAAATATGTTATGTTGTTTAATAATGCAAATACGTTGAACCTTACACAATTATCGTCATTTTCATGCGTTCTTACTTATTCGTATTCATTTTTGTTTTCACACATCGTTTTTCACTTATTTTCATTGTTACAGAATACGACTCAATAAACATTCTGACAGAATGAGAATAATAATAAAAAGTCTATAATAAACTTATGGACGATTTAATTAGTAAAATGTGTGATAATGACAATAGTTATGTAATATTGAACATATTCATATTATCAAAACAACATATTTACTGTCCATACGGCCGCACAATAAATATAAATTCACATTTAAACATATATATATATATATATATATATATATATATATATATATATATATATATATATATATATATATATATATATATATATAACAGTACAATTGAAAAGAAAATTTTTTATATAATAATTAATGTATATTTTTAAGTTTATCATAGTTATATATAAAAAACCAAATAAACAAGCTTTGGGTCGAAACTCATGTTCAAAACAATTTGGGCTATGTTTTTTTTTTTTTTGTTTCCTTACCAAGTGCTGTAACTAATATGATCCATCAATTTGGTCAAATAAATGGAGAAAAAAAATACAAAATTGGTGTTGACAATCTCTTAGTTAATATGAAAACGAGTTTCCTTTCTACATGGGTATAAGGTAGTGTGACTCTTATTCCCGCAATTCCAAAAAAAAAAAATCTTATTAATTACCGATCACTCACAGTTGATGCAAATTGCAAATCATATTCTTTTAGGTATGGATCGTAACTCTGGGGTAGTCGTTAATCGAGTTCACGGACTGAACCTTTACAAAAGGGATCCCCATTTTGAGATTGTTGGCTCGATGACACGGGCTCGAACAAAAAGAATGAATGATGCCTTAAATGCAGGAGCCAAAATATAAGTTAAATTTGACTGAGGTATACATGTAATAACGGTTAATACTTTTTATGTATTTGTCTGGAGGGGCGTTCTTGTAAATCATGTCATTTACAACAAAATACACTACTAGAAAAAGACAATTCCAATATGATTAAAATTGTAAATATAACATGAAAGGTTAGCCATATTTACTACACCTAATATAATACAACATTACAACAAAAAATTATTGATGTGAGATCGAAAAATCATCCCAAATGTATTACAAAGCGATGGCATGCACATACAAGAAATTCACTATGGTGCTTAAAATGAAAGAAATAGCATTATACGGTAACCATTATTGTTTGTTTATATTAGGCAAAATGCAAGAATTAATAATTTACAAGAATCAAGATTTTGAAATATTTCTTGCATGAGGGATTAAAGTATTCTCTCTCGTCATTTGGTTACGGATAATTTCATGAAATAGCAATGGACTCTCATATATTTGTGTATTATAGTGTTCTTCATTTCCGTTTTGTTATAACAATGTACTTCAATCTTTTTTTTATTAAGACCCTAGGGATTTTGGCAAATCTACCCGCCGGTTATAGTGTCATGCTTTCTTGGATAACTATCTAATTTTTGACAATTTACTTTCATTTATTTGTTTATTACAACACCCTACTTTTGAATATTAAAAAAATGAATTAGTTATTTACTAAGGCTCCTTACTACTATAGAAATACATTGCTTTTATGACAAACAAAAGTATGTGTCCTAAAATATATGTAATTTTTTGTGAAAAGGATTTAAGACATACAAAAATGTGGGGTCATGTTTTAGTGTCATAAACATATTTAAAATGTGAAATGTTTTTTAATGCCCGTCATAGGAAAAAATAAGGTTGCCTTTTAATTATCGATATCCGACTCTGATATCATAAATCCCCCTTTGTTTCTAGCCCGCTTCTCTCCAAGTCTCCATGTCTCTCTTGATCAGAACTACCTTGGGTTTACTAGTAGAAAAAAGACTTTCCTTGACAGACATTGTTTATCATAAATGCTTATATATGACATACAAATGTATGCCGCTGAAAGAAATGTCATAAAGGAATATGACACGCATTTGGCTTGCCATAAAATCTACGATAGACCTTTATGACCTACAACTACGACATATATACACGACATGCGTTTTTGACATACATTTACGACCAACTTTATATGTCTTAATTCGTAACATTTTTGTAATTATAGATAGACATTTATGACTTCAAATTATGACATATTCTATACGACATGATTTTTGGCATAGTTTTACGACATACTTTGTATGTCATGGTTTTACATTTTTTTTTTGTAAATTATATATATATATATATATATATATATATATATATATATATATATATATATATTCTAAATTTGTACCAAATCCTAATTAAACTAAATTACACATTTAATGTCTAATAATGAAAAATAAGATATCATACATATATAAAAAGGAAATTGACTACACAAACTATAGTGTCAAATTCAAAAGTGTGTTCAAAATTCATCAAAAAAATAATTGTCAAATACATATCACCGATATTTGTGTTGATATTTATCAGATCCTTAAAATCTACCAGTGAAGGTGTTTCCTCATAACCTTTTTATGAATTAGAGAGACCTTTTGCCACATAGATGCGCAGGTGCATACGTTCCCATCCAAGTAGAACTTTTATTTTCAACCTATAGTCATAAGACAAGGTTTAGGACAAACCAAAATTACATTTAGGTCTCCTTCATGGACTGGACTGTGATATTCTTCATTTCTTGCTTTCTGGCAGCTCAAAGCCTACCAATGCTTCCGTTTCTGTTATCAGCTCACCCATAGTGCTCAGCGTACCTTTACTTACCAACATGTTTTGCTTTCGCAGTTAATTGAAGAACATAGAAATCATAAGCATTGCCAACCCAAATGGAAGTGCATAGAAATAGGAATATGTCACTTAAACACAATAGGTTATCAATCTCAGGTCATGTGCTACTGATTATTACAAGGTTTATTGTCAGCTGACTCATAAAACTCTCAAGAACAATACTTCTCCCACTGAAATTCTTGACATAGAAGTTTCTCTCTCAAGGAACATTCCTTGATGAGCTAAAAAATATTCAAAAGTTCGAACAGATTCCCGAAAAAAAAACCACTCCATAGAATAGGATCTAGTTTATCTTTTGTTTCTCGATCAACACAAACATCAAAACTCCAATCCTAAATGTGCTAGAGTAAGGAAAGCATTCTTTACTCCACATATCACACGGTGTTATCATCCTTTTTAGTTTGATATGAGTTTCAAGATACGATTTATAGTTACTAGAGCATGGCTCTAAACCTTGATTGGAACAAAGTATGACTCATCTATGATCGAACCATTTCCAGTAATGTTCAATTCCTTTTCTTAGTCATACAATTACACTAAGATGTTCTTTGAGGATTAATTGTGATACAATTCCATAATTACTAAGATGATCATAAAACAGGATACTAAAGTACTCTCATTTCCTTTCATATTGGAGAATCTTTTATCTTTCTACCTAATAAATTATTCTATTTGTTCTGCCACTCTTTGAACCTTTTCAAAAGTATTAGAATTATGTTTAATCTAATACACATGATCATATTTGTTGAAGCATCAGTAAATCATGACTAATAGAGTTATCTTTCTTTGTGTTTCATCTGAAGAGTTCATATCAACATGTACTAGATCCATTAGTCCTTCACTTGCATCACATATGTGACAACCCGAACCTTTTTCCGTTAACATTAGTCGAATCCGTTAAATAAATTTCAAATTTTATTTGTTTTGTTAAATTCTCATGGTTTAGAAGATCGTTTTTATATATATAAGTTGGAACCAAAATCGCGCGGAAACCCGAGCTACTTCGAAAATCAGTGAAAATCGGCCTGACTAGTGTTCACGGCCGTGAACCCGATCACGGCCGTAAACTCGTTCACG